ACATTTACTGTATATGTTTGCCACCAGGGAAAACTACTGTCTACGCCTCAGCTATATTACTGGAAGAGCAGCAGCGGTATTTGTGCTATTCGGAATATTGCATTTCCAGGACCTGCTCTATGGCTTTCGAAATTCTCCTTCCAACTCCCCATGTCCCCCCCCCCCCGGGCCAATTAGCAAAAATGTGTGGTTGGGGTGATGGCCCCCTCCTCCGCATGGCAACGCCACGGCGAGAGACTCGGGCAAAACAGCGTGAGCCATCCCTTCTTGGCATTGGGAAGCACGGTTTGCAAGCCAATGGCAGAGGGATGAAATGCAAATATAGCATTTCTTGTAAAGTAAATTAAGCTAACAACGAGGTAACAAACTGCTGTTAATATTAGATTAACTTGTTTGGCAAGATAGGAGATCGGGCAAGCTGGATCGTCGATAGCAGAGGCCTCAATAGTGCTAATGCTGCTCAGGGATGTATAAAATCCTGCTGTTTTTTTTCACCAAAAAAAAAAAAATAAAATTAAGACTGGAAGAAGAGCCAGAATCTGTGCAGCAATTATACCAGCATTAAAGATGAATGGAGAATAAGCTTGAGATTTTGATTGCCTTTAAATACTGGCTTGTTTTTAATCTCAAAAATCAGACTGTGCTGTGATCAGCCATTACCCCCAACTACAAAAAAAAAAAAAGAAAAAATCCTAGATTTTAACATTTGTAGTATGAACTTAAAATACCCCTTTGGTCTAAGATAAGGAGGCAAATGGCAGATAATTCAGAAGTTAAAGCCAGTTGCATGTGGCTGGCAGCTGGCAGCGGCGGGGCCGACTTTGGGAGTAATGGAGACTTGGGCAGAGGGGTCACCGGCAGCCGTGTCCTCAATGCGGGGACTGAGGCACAAGCTTAAATGCCATCCTGCATGCCAGTGGTCACTAAACTGATTAAGCAGTGGTTATCTTTAGCAGTAAAAAGGCTATCTGCTAATACTAAGTGATTAGAGTCTAAAATGCCATTTACTCTGCTCTGATTCCTTGAATGAATATTTATGCCAAGTGATGACTATAACACCATCAAAAGGTTTCCGTGCTCTGCTCCGTAGAGTGGAAGTGATTATTCAACAGCAGGTCTGCACTCCAGCACTTGTTTCTATTAAGCGAATTTGCAGCGTTCAGACAAAAAAAATTCATGCTTGCATTGTCCTCCCGGGATTTTTATTTTTGAAGACCTCCCGCTTCCAATGCTCTCCAGGCATGGGCTGTGGCAGGTGGGGCCTTGTCCTCTGCGCAGACACGGACAAGGGGATACAGATGCTGCACAATTTCTCCCTTGTATTTTTTTTTTTTTTTTCAATATCAGAAGACTGGACATTTGCTGCACCCCATTCAACAGCAGGAAGCTGTGCCCTGTCCCAGGCTTCCCCCCTGCCTACCCAGCCACCAGCTGGGGCTTTTGCATGAAACAGCATCATGAAATTCCTCGTTAGGCATAAGGACACAGACCTACAGCCATGGTGGCAATTCAAGAGGGCTACCCATCAGAAATGAAGCCCCTGCACCCCGGTGGGGGAGCACTGCCTGTATTTCACAACAAGGGCAAGTGCAGGGAGGCAACGAGGGGCCCGGCGTGCCATTGCAGGGTGTCACTAGCCCCCCCTTCCCCCGGCAGCAGGGTGTTCTGACAAGGTGTGAGTGGATCCAAGCTGCCATAGCAGTAGTGAGGGAGGGCTCCAGCCTGACCCGCGTTGGGGACCACGGGCACGGGCTCAGCCTCCCCCCACGCTCCAGCTGGGGTGCGCTGGGCTCGGTTCCCACCTTGCCCTGGCAGCAGGGGTGCTCTTCGCGGGGAGGCACGCTCTCAGAATGCACCTCTCCAACATTTAACCCCCCCAGGAGGAGAGACCCACGCTGTTCTGGTAACATCCCTCGTGACCGCCGGACCGCCTCTGCATGCTCCCTCCTCCCACATTGCTAACTGGCGTTTCGGCCTTCGCCCCAGGCCCCTCCACACCACATTGAGGAGCGGCTGAGGGAACTGGGGTTATTTAGTCTGGAGAAGAGGAGGGTGGGGGGGGACCTGATCGCCCTCTACAGCAACCGGACAGGAGGCTGTAGCGAGGTGGGGGTCGGCCTCTTCTCCCTGGTAACAGATGATAGGACAAGGGGGAATGGTTTGAAGCTGCGCCAGGCCAGGTTTAGGCTGGGCATTAGGAAAAACTTCTTCACTGAAAGGGTTGTCAGGCTCTGGCATGGGCTGCCCAGGGAGGTGGTAGAGTCCTCATCCCTGGAGGTATTTAAAAGAAGGATAGATGAGGTGCTTAGGGACATGGTTTAGTGGTGGGATGGCGGGGCTAGGTTAAAGGTTGGACTCGATGATCTCAAAGGTCTTTTCCAACCAAAGTGATTCTATGATTCTATTGCCGTGCTGCCAGCGCCATACAGACAGCAGCCACCGAGACCAGGCCTCACCATAGCTGTTTCAACTTACCGGTTATTTTGTCCCATTTACCAGCCCATGACCCATTTTTTTTACTCCAAGTTCCTGGGCTCTCTTCTGCTGGGTTTGCTGACTCAGACTGTTGCATTGCCACATATCAACCCCCCCCACCGAACCACCCCTATCTCCCGACGCATCCAAACGTGCCCCCCCTGCAGAGCCGGCATGGGAAGTCACGTCTGCAGCAAGGCCCGGCTCACACCAACCAAGCGCCATTTTTATTCATCCAGCGGTAGCGTGGGGTTTCCCGCACAAGCGACCCTCTCCTCCAGCATGCTCCTGCCTCTGGGGCGACGCTTCTGCAGCTTTGCCAGCAGCCTACAAGAGATCTGGCGGCTGCAGAGCCATTAGCCGAGCAGCTCGGAAAAGTTACATTTTCTTCCTCCCTTTCTTCAGAAGCAAGACCACCACCTAAGCCAAGAAAAAAATGCTTTCTAGAAGGTTTAAGCACCATTTGCTGAAGGACTTTTTTGGCTTTTAAACTGGTGCCAAAACTCTCCTAAAGAATCGGAACTAAATCGGAATAAGCCCCCCAGCTTGTTTGGTGAGGGGCTTTCGTTTGGTTTGGGTTTACTTCTCCCATCCTCACCACGGGACAACACCCACGCGCTGCCGTTGCGTGTTGAACTACAGCCAACCCCGCGGGCCGGTGGCGCCCATCACTCTGGAGCACAGGCAGAGGCAGTGACCTTCTGGAAGCCCATTTCAAAGCAAGGAAGCAAAAGGTTTGGGCAACAAGCCGCTCCTTCAGTAGCCCCAGTGTCGCCACCTGCAATAGTCTCTACAAAAAAGGCATCAACTCTACAGTTTCTCAAAAGACAAGCCTGCCGCCCCGAACCCCCAAAGGCACTAAAATGGAATAGCAATTAAAACGCCGCCTATCCATAGGCAGCAATATGTGCGTTTTTAATTTAAAAATGCTCTTCCATTTTTATGGGAATAAAAGGGGATGAGGCCACACATTTTGTAACGGGCCTCCCAACCCAAAACATGTGTTTGTGGAGAAAAATCACTCGCTCAATCCACGTGTCTGAGGTAGCTTCAGGTGCCAGGTAACATTTTGAAGCATATTAAGTGTCTGGTGGGGTTTTGCTTGTGGCCATTATTCAACACGGATGTACACAAAAGCATTTCATGCAACAGGCAGAGCAGCACCAAGCTGTGCTGCACGCAGCGTTTGCAATTCAGAGAACGCACGCGATCCAGGACCAGTAACCGATTGAGTCGCGTCAGAGAGAAAGTACTCGGTGTCTATTTTGTAGAGGAACGTGGGGCAAATCTAAGAAAAAGCAAGATGACAAAATAAATAGCATTGCAGCCATCCTTTACAGCTGCCGGTGCACCGCATTAAAGTGACACTCACCGTACAAAGAAATGTGTTTGGTACAGTCCAGTGGGTTGCACGTGAATTGCATAACCTTGAAAATCATTGCACAAAGCATCGCAGCAGGAACACCGTTCAGAGCTTTCCTACAAGAGATGCTTCAAATCCGATCGCTTTCATTACGTGGGAGGTCAAAGCACCTGGCACAGAGTAAGCAAAAAGAGCTGCGAAAAGGGATGCTGCGTCAGCGCCCGGCCACGCTCGAACCCTGACATCAGCTCAGGCCTGGCCAAGCAATGCCCCACAGGACAACCCCACTGCCTGTCAAAGCCTTGAAATTAATATTCTGATCCATGCCTGGGCACCTGTTGGCAGGGCTGGAGGGAGCCTGCTCCTCGCAGCCCAGGCTGCAGATGCCGTATCAGCCAGCCAACAAGCCTGGCTGTGGCAATGCTCTGCCTAAATTCACGAGAGATTAAAAGCAAGGTGACCCCCAGCCAGCAACTCGGCACTGCACAGCAGCCTTGGTGCGACCCGGCCGGCGACATGGACGGTTCCCAGCCACCGCTTGTTCCCTCCGTTGTGGCTCGTTCCCTCCCGCTGTGGCTCGTTCCCTCCCGTTGTACAGCGCAGCAGGTTTTTGGACACAAGTCTCCACAAGTGCAAGGGGAGAGGTCCCGCGGTGCGGCGGCATTTCTTCCCCCAGTTCGCATGCGTGAACTCCTGCCTCTGCTTTTATTCCTGCAGCTTCCAGGGATCTGCGCGTGCGTTTCTAACAGCCTGCTCACCATCGGGCATAGGAGATACAGGCTTTCACCGCATGGGGAACAAACCACAGCTAAGATGACCAGGAAACATTCATAATTTTTAATTCACACCAGTAATAAAATTGCATTACATTTTTCATAAAATAAATGTTCCAGTTTATATACAGAAAACAGACTGTACAGAGCCCTCCCCCAGACCCCAAAAACTCACAAACATACAGGCAATGCAGTGCTCAGCTAAGCAGGCACAACTGTACATCTACAATTTGTAACTGCTTTGTGTTGGGGGGGGGGGAAAGTACTACAATGTATATAGTCCTCTCTGGACCAAGAATTAAAAAAATATTGCAGGCAAGCCGACAGGCGCCCTCGCTGCTCGCGCGGCCAAGCGCCCATCCCACAGTGCTTCAGCGAAGCAGGGTTTGTTATTGAACCTGGGACTCGAAGCTCCCATTCAGCTGCCCTTCCTCATAGTCCATCTGACACAAGATCATGTTGTTCTTCAGGAAAAATTTGTCTCCCACGCAGAATCTGCAAGATAAAAAGAATTAACAGGTGTAAGTACGAAGAGAGGTTAGAATGGGGTGGGGGATTTGAGGCAGTTTGGGTCTGAAGGCGACTCTGGGGACCAGAATTTGATTTCCAGCTCTGCCGCTGGTGTGGGACCCCGGGAAGCTCGCGTCCTTCTGGCCCCACTCCCCTTCCCAGCAGGCACCCCGGGGTTTTGCCGTCCCCTTTCCTGGCACGGCGGTGCGCAGCTCCCGGGCCACAGTCGCACCAGGCAGCTCGGGGAGCAGGCCCCGGCCTCTGCGGGTCCCGTGCCAGCGGCCGGAGGAGGCCGGGAGCAGTTAAGGGATTTGTACCTGCAGACGAGAGGCATCAGCTCTGCAGCCAGGAAATCAAAGGGGTGATATTACACAGAGCCTATTTGAAGTTTTTGCTGGTATCCACATTTCCGCGGCTCCCTCGGGTGAGGCAGTATTTACACTAATTTCCAGGCAAGGACTGGCTATTAAGTCTTTCCTCACCCCCTTGTGTACAGTGCAGAACAACAAATAGAAATTTCCTGGTGGCTGGACTCCTAACCTTTATCTTCATTGAGCGAAGGGCACTGCTCTCTATATACCATGTAAATTGTTCTGTTTGTATTGAAGTTGACAGAGAGGCTTGTGATATTTAACAATTTTATTTGACCATTAAGGTCAAAAAAGTTCCACATATAAGATCCGAGAGGTGTGAATTGACAGCCAATAGCTTTTTCCGCTCTGCCTGCTTGCTCAAGAATCAGAAGCTAATCTTTACTTCTTAAAATAACAAATAATGCTCTTTGCACCCAATTCAGGGGCTGGGTTTTGTCCATCACACCAAGGGGGCCATGACAGACCAGAGCGCAGGGCTGTGCCTCCCTGCCCCAAGTGCTAAATCAGCCCTGGGTCCCTAAAGCAGAGTCACCACCCAGCCCCTCTGCCGAAAGGCAGCTGGAATGGAGGGGAAGCCATCCTCTGGCAAGGCCGAATATTTACTGGGCTTTGAAGGAAGATTAGTGGCAATGATCCCGTCCTCAGGAGACTTAGCAGACCTCAAACGCCCATTTCCTCCACTGCCAGGCAGAGCTTTGGCAGGGATGTTGCCTACTCCTTGTCTAAAATGCTTTCTAGATTTGTAACCCAGGCAGCTTCAGGCAGAGCATCTCCATAAACCCAAATATTTTGTGCTACAAGAACAGGAGCGGTCATTTTAGAGCTCCTTTATAGGTCCAACATGGGCACAAGTTTTCTCCAACTGGGCACTTGCAAATAAACTGATGGATTTGCCAAGCTGGTGCAGAGAGAATTGGGCGTTGGTTCTCACTTTATAAGATTTCACTGGAGACTTTCCATCTTCTTCCCTCCGCAGCGTGTGTGTTAGCGGTTCTGAAATTCAACTGGTTTTGTATATTAAAAAGCTAAAAATTAATCTCAGTTTAAGTTAACAGCTTTTACACTAAAGGCTGTACTGCGCACACCCTCCTGAAAACCACCTTCCCCATCAGTAGGTTTCCTCACGACAAATAACACAGGTAGCTGATTGCTTCCTGCTACTTAGCCCTACCTTAAGTACAATATACATCTCCAGGGAGAGAAATGCAAAAATGACTCTTGCCACCAGCATCACCAGCAGCTCTCTCTTGCCACACCGGGTTTGGGCCTAGAGGAGCCAAAGGAACAGTCGGAGAAACAGGGGCTTGGAGAGGCGTGTGTGTGTGTGTGTGTGTGTGTGTTTGAGCACGTGGGAACTAAAACGCACAGCAGAGGTACCCTGAGACCCTATGAAGTTCTGGGAGAAAGGCTTGATTCACTGAAAAGGCAACTATTTCTTCCTACCTGCCAGTCCTGCAAACCCAGCAGTAAACTGGGATTACTTCAGCTGATGCATCGCAACCAGAGACAGAGGATTTATCAGGGCAACTTCAGATGCAGTTTCGCGCATCCCAGCCCACAGCTCTCTTCAGAGCAAGATGTGGGACCGCGCTGCCAGCCCCCACGCTCGGAGCAGGTCTGTCGCAAAGCCCGTCTGGCTGATCGACTTGCAGCCAGCAGCAGCAAGAAACAGGCGCTGAGCTTACCCTGCCGTTTCGACAGAGTGATTTTCTTCCGAGGAAAAGCACATTGTAGATAACGGCAACACAAGCAGCTGGATTTCCTGCAACCTTTGCAATACCGACCTGTTAGCCAGGTACAGTGGTAACCAACTATTACTCAGTATTGCGCCAAGCAATGTTGAGCTTATAACAGTTTAAAGCATGGTAGGCTGAGTAGCATTGCCGGACTCGCTGCAAACCTGATGTTTTGGAGAATGAAGCTAATGAAAATACTGGACACTTGGTAAAAATATTAGAGATTTTGCTCTGATGGATTTAAAACGCTACACAGAGAGTCTAGCTATAGAAGGGCAAGTAAGCTGGAAGAGAAGTAGTGAAAGGTCTTCATAATCAGATCTTTTCATAGCTGAAGAATGAGGTGGGGTTTCAGGTGAGGTTTCCAGTTCAGAACTAGTTATGACATTCACCTCTGCAGTTTTGACTTTAGGGTTACTTAAACTCACTGTTCTCAGTTCAGCTTCCAATGTCGTCTGCTACAGGAGCACTGCCATCCTGCCCTTTCAGGCCAAAACCTCTAGAAGATAACTCATGAAAGTTTGTAGCCGCCTGATCTCAGCCAAGAATAACAATCTAAACCTAGCTATAACATTGTCTCCTGCCAGGCAGTGGCAGCACGTGGACATTACTTTAAGGACCACCCTTTGCACTGAGAGCAGTAACAGCATTAGCAATCGCAGAGGGAAGAGATGGAGAGAGGTGCTTTGGAGCCTTTATAATAAAGAGTGAAATTTAAAAGCAATTCCAGAAGATGAAAACTAAGTGGTACTAGGCTTTTCCATGAGAGAAGCTAGGGTAAAGTATGGGTTTGGTGACAAATACTCATCCTACAGACTCCCAAACCAACCCAGCACTCCTGCCTGTGCAGCCCAGAGCCGTGACTTGCCTCTGCCAGAAGGGACATTTGAGATGCTCTAGCCCTAGTATTGGCGTGGAGTTTGGGAGCAGCCCTCTCCTGCCCGGCCTTCATTGGCAGGCTAAGGAAAGCTGAGCCTAAGGGCTGAGCCTGGCAGCACCCCACAACACTTCTGAGTCTGGAGACAAACCCCATGAGCAACCAGCAACTTTGGGTGTGTGAAGAGAGACCATCCTGGGGAGGGACCGCATTAGCTCTGCGCATCATGGCTGCTGCAGAAGCGTGCTCAGGAGTGGCAAAACAAGACCGGGCAACTGAAAGATGCAGCGTGGCTTTGGGAAAGGAGCCCAAGGCTGGGAGCCACTAGATGTCACTGCCGCCTCGGCACTGCCACTGCGCCCCTGGACACGGCCAATATTAATGGGAGAGTTTCATACCTCCAGCAAACACTGCCTCTGCCTTCAGTAACGTGATCGGGTACAGCCACCTGCACTACAAACTGCTCGCCTGATTCGCCTCTTCCACACTCAGGCACCAACCAGCTGCAACCCCATCCATCCCCAGGAACCAAACCACTGTCAGAGGGCATGGAAGGAACATCAGGCCCCAGTTCACACGGTCTCCTATATTTAGAGGGAAAGGTGGCAGGGGCTTGCGCGCGCGCACACACACACACACACACACAGCATGGCTACCTCATTAGAAGTCCCACGGTGACTTCTGTTTGAGAGCAAGACAGTGATGAATTTTTAAGTCAGGCTTTTAACTTGACCTTTACAGAATTAGGTTCTACATCTTCCCACAAGTTTTGACATTTCTCTCTCACACCTTCACGTGAGCTGAAGCATGGTCTCCTAGTTTCATCTTTGGGAAACACAACTGCAAGTCCAGGACGTACACCCCAGCGCAGCCCTCGGGCCCTGGGCAGCCACTACAGCCTCGCTGAAGCAGTAAGAACAGCAAGCACTTTCCGGCCTGTCTTGGAGAAGGATAGATGGATGCATCAGAAGGCGGCACTGTATCACGTCTGGCTCTGTGGGCTTCCATTCTGCCTATGACCACCAACAAACAGGGCACAGGAAAGATTTTTCACAGCCCTCCCAAATTCGGCTAGCTACAGGTAGCCCGAGGGAAAGCGTAGTGCATGACCCTTTACTCCTTGACATGCATTTTTCACTGGGTAAAACCCAGCAGAAATACACAAGCCCTGCTCAAAATTACACCACCGAGATCGCCTATTATTTACACAATAACTAAAGGGATTTGTTTCTAGTGTTGGAAAGGGCTTATCTAGAGAATTTTTCTCCTTCTCGTCCCTTCTCTTTCTCCTTCTCCTTCGCTGTCCCCACTTTTGAGCCTGTCAGAAATCTGATTTAAGCAAAATAACGTCAGTTTGCCAGAGGAGGTCTTGTCTTCATTGTCTGTGTTCTGCAAAGAGGGTAGATCTTGAAAGGATGCTGAAGCAGTTTGTTTTATTCAGCAGCAGCTGTGCTGCGTACAACCGTGGCCAGATCTGTGGGCTGTGTGTCCCCCCTGACTCTCCCCAACTCCCACCGGCTACAAGGGGATTTGCAGTAAAGGGGCTACAGGTACTTACGTGCATCACCCAGGTCAGCCTAACAAACCAGCGTGAGGCACGCCAGCAGGCTGCGAGCCCTGGACAGGTAGCATAGATCAAACGTTTCCCCTATTTTACAGGCAAAGGTATAAATTAGTTTGTGTTTGTGTGTATAATAACTGTGTCCTCACCGCTGGTTGCAGAGCTGACAGGCAAAGCAGTCCAAATGGTAAACATTATCTCTGGCCCTCATCACCATCTCAAAGGCAGGGATCAGTTTACTGCAGGCAGCACAATTCCCGGTGGTACCAAAGAGCCTGCCAAAGAAGCACAATCATTAGAAGCCATTTTAATTAAATGGTGGAAGAACTAATTAAGTGTAATTAGCAGTATCAAATACTGTATTGCACCAATAAATAGAAGTTGCAGTCTCCATTTTGCTGACCAACCAGTGTGCGGGAACTTGGGATAAAACTGCCTGGTGAGCAGGCTCCGACTGTCGAGATGAAACTTCATTTGGTTTGTGAGCCTAGGGCTAATTTGCTGTCTAATGGAGAAAAGCATTAAACACTTTGAGCACTATTTTGGGGCTCACAAAATTTCAGTCAAAACCTATCTGCTTCTCTGCAGCGGTGGGGTAGGTGCTTGGAGCCGCCCGCCCTCCT